CCTCGCGTAAACGAAATCGATGCAAGCGAGTTTTCTTTTTTTTTATCATCTACGTATCTATACTAACTGCAGAAATATTTCGAGGGGGAATTTCCATGCGCGGGGTGAAAACGTATCGAGGATTCGTAAAAAGATATATCGAAGGTGGAAAATCCGCGTGTTCTTCTCGCTGCATTTTTGTTTTATGCATGAAAGCATCGGCGACCGCCTCGGATGACACGAGTTTCGCGTTGAAAGCCGTCGACGACTCGAAGAGAATCGAAAAGTTTTCGCGAATTTTCCATATTCTGTCGATAAACAATTTTCTTTTCCTTAATTCTTTTTCATTCTAAAAATTGTAAGTAAGTTATATAATTAAATTAAGTATTGACAACAATTAATTTATATTATATTTAAAAAGAATTCTTCTAAAATCTATCGAAATTTATTACCAACGAATTCATGCTTTACCATGTATGAAAAAATTTTTATTTCGCATTTTCTCGATCCACAAAATATCGAATGGAAAAAAAGAACGGTGTGAACAATACCAAAGCACGTAAAGCGAAACGGATAAAGAAATAAAATCGAGTTGGATGAGTAATAAAAAAAGTAATAAAAAAAAAAAAAAATGAAGATCGATATGAAACGAATATGGAGGTAGAAATGGACGCAGGTGCACGCGTGTTGATCGACGATGTTAAGAGATCGAATCGATCGAATATTCGAGTTAAAATCTTATCCTCATCGAGGATCTTACCAATGGCCAGAAACGTTTCACCAATTTTTGAAGAGAGAATCGTTGACGAAAAAAATTGAGAGCTTCTGAAAGCAATTTCGACATATATTATACGAGATTTGAGTCCAGATTCATATACCCAAAAGTATTATTAAAATTGTAACTAAAATTCTACTTTCCTCTAAATGGAGAAGCCTTTACAGTTGTGTACTTAATCTAAGCTGGAACAATTAGCAAGTTATGAATTTGGAATCGAATTTTCGAGATTAATTTCGTCTATCATATATTTAAATTAAGTAGTATTAAATATAAATATATATATAAATTAAATATAAATATTTCCCCAAATTTCCCCAAAGGCGCGAGGACAAAGTAATAAAAGTTTTCGAAAACTTTTGGTTGATAGAGGGTTCGCAATATATATACAAGTTTCGAGCAGCTGCGGTTGACGAATTTTCACTGTAAATCTGATGCGGGGACCCAACGGGTTCACGGATCGTCTATTATACGCGTAAGAACGTGAACTAACTTATTTACGTGCAGGCAATTGGCCATTAACTTTTAATTAAAACTAAAGTTAAAAATATCGAATAAAATTACTTGTTTAAATGTTACGAATAACAATTATTAATTTATTCCTAATTGTTATAATTAATCCGCTTTTACAGCCTCGTATAAATTATTTGCGATTATTTAGATAACTTTATTATTAAATTTTTATCCATGTAATGACGCTATAAATATACACACCAAAAAACTTTTAAATCAAACATATTCTCCCGGAATGTATAAATAAAGAGATTTCGTTTCGATAAAAGCACGTATCGCAAGAAAGAAAGCTTATCCAATAATCAGAAATGAATTTTAATATCCTGATCCTCGAGCAAGGAATACAAAATTTAATCTTGGACGTGCTGTTTACTCGTTGTCGAGAAGTGGACGATGGTACGAGCAACGTGAAAGAACTTTGTATTAACATTGCCAAATTTTAGAATAAACGACACAGTCAACCGCGACTTGTAAACTCTACTTAACCTATATTTTGCTCGGCATATTTTCACGTTGTCCTTTTATATCTCCTTTGCGTAATAAGTTCTTTTTCTTGTTAGTTTAACTGTTTTCTGAGAAGCAAACGATACGATGTTATCGAACGAATTTACAATATTATTCCTGTATATGTTTAAGCTTAAACGTCAGCTGAAGCGTATCGAAATATTAGATTAGCTTTCGAGGATTCTATCGACGAGAGGACCGTTCGATGCTTGCTTTCAAAAATTCAAGTCTGGAAATGAGAATCTTGAAAACGTGCCTCGAGGTAGACCGAAATTCACATCGAACGAAGATAAACCGAAAGCTGATCCACGAACGAACACTCGCGAAGTTGGACGCGTCTCCAACGAGACGGTTTTCACACATTTGAGTGCGCACGGGTGAAGCGAAAACAATTGGAAAAGTAGGTGGCGCGGCAATCGACGGAGGATCGAAAGTTGCGACGTTTGGAAATGCGCTCGTCGCGCAAAGCTTCGTTTTGAACGGAATCGTAACACGTGACGAGGAACGGTATACCGCACGATAATCGTACGCGATCCGGACAACGTTGGACGCCAATGAAAATCCTAAACGAGTGTCGAAGGCATCGTTACGGCCGAAAAAAGTCACGGCGACATCCTACTGCCAAGAAATCGATTAAAAAACAACTCGCATTGGACGATAGACGTGGACTTGTTTTTGTGCATCGCAAACCACTCTACCAAAAATTAGCCGAATCGAAATACGAAATATTAACCCATTCATCATACTCGCCGGGCACTTCGGCGACCGAAATGTTTTTAAATAAAATAAAATATTGGGCATTCGAGAAATTGAAATCGCAGCATTCGAAAAATTTCTTCGCGCTGAAATTATGAAGTTTTATAAAAATGGAAAATTAATGTGTCGATTGGAATCTCATTAGTCGTTAAAATTTCGAAAATATATTACAAAAACAGCAATTTCAAGATCTAATAATTATAAAAAAATCGAGGATTGTTCAACCTTCTCGATATCCATTAACGTATCTCGGAAAATCGATTTTTTTCTTCCTTTTGTCGAGATTAAGATAATTACACAAAATTCTAACGATTATCTCAAAAATACGAAGAAACGATATCTTGAATTTTAATTTATTCAAACGAAAGAAACTGTAATGAAACGATTCAAATTTGATGAAAATAAAGTTGGAGATACTTTAAGAAACTTCCAAGTCATTAATACAGCTTCCCTTTCTCTTTAAAATCCTCATCGAGAGACTTGGCTAAAGTGTTCAAGAAGAACAATAATTTATAACTCGAAAGACTTACGTTACGAGAAGTAAATAATTATTCCATATTTATTTCGATATAAAATTCACAATGGAAAATATTTTTACTCATTCTTTTCTCATTTATACTCTATGCTTGTCAATTAAAATTATACTGTAGTATCGTTATATTTGAAAACAGAGATAAAAATTTCTAAGTCGTGAGAAAAGAAAATACATATTTTTAAAATCGAATTTCATACGCAGCACGAGTTTAACTTTTTGACAAGCGGCGAGAAGCGCAACGAAGACCAAGTAACTTAACTACCAACAACCACAACTCGTCAACCAACAAACTACGGTCGAACTCCGTCCACAAATCGTATTACGCAAACGTCACATGTTTATACCAGATGCGTAGCATGACATTCAAGCGCAAACGTATTCAGCACGTCTTAGAATCCCTTGAGCTGTTTAAACATATATGTATATAATATTATATATAACTTTGTATAAAGTTTAAATCTTTAAATTATCCATCGTGTCAAATTCTTTAATTTAATGCAAATATACAGGCAAATCGATTTAGAGAGAAAAGATATGACGAAGAAGAAAATTAAGCAATTTTTCGTAGGAAGCGTATAACCTAACCTAGCTTTGTTGCACGTGTTAATTTACAAGATTTCTCGAATTGTGAATTGCGTTTCTCCTGAGTCTCTCGTATTTCTATCGCTATTGCTATTGAAGGAACAAATTAATCTCTAAACCCTTATCGAATTTCCTAAATGATTTATCATCTTTGAATAAAATAACTTTTACCTCCACCGCAAACAATTTTAACTTCACTTTTATATTATTATTCACTTCATTTTTGAAATTGTTAAAAAAAAATGATTTTCTAAGAATTACATATCATTAAAGATGAAATTTAATAACAATAACGTAGTTATTCGGTTATAAACATCTTCGTATCGTCGATTTAACATTTTCGAAATATCCATATAATTTATTTGGTTACAAAGTTTGGTTAACAAGTCAACGTCTCTTATAAGACGTTGGAACTCGAGTGAAAGATGAATATCGAGTCGTCGAACACGTGAATTTCCCGCAGAGTAGAGGCAGACGAAGTTTAAAGGTTAAACCGATGAATATGTAACGCGAGGCAAGCGCCACCATCGTGAAACTTTACGTGTTACAGTCTTTGAATACATTGGACCGTTGCCGTGTTAGTTGCCGTGACGAATCTGGTTAAAAATCTGGTTTAACTTTGGCCGGGGATTAATTACATACGTTGGTACAAGATTTCAATTTCGTTTAAAATCTATCGGGAGATAGATTATTCGCGTTAAAAAAAAAAGAAAAAAAAGATAGAAAGAGATAGAAAGATAGAAAGAGGAAGGATATTATTTTCGAGAGCGTTATAAATTATTAGAACAACGTTCGAGGACACGCTCGTCGCGCTCCCTCTCTAATTATTCTGTTTATGCTTCTGAATCCCGCATTGTATATCCCATAACCACATCGCGCATCAGCCCGCGTTTGCTCGATCATCGCCCACGTGAACCAAGTTTAATTACTTTTGTAATTGATACCCGTATAATATGAATATTATATACGCAAATAAATTATTTTGTTTCTCGTAATCTCGAAATAAATCTTATTATCACGATAAAATTACCGGATATATATTACGAGTCTTTTGCCACAAAAGATTTTGTAACAAATTTTTTTCTTATATTTCTTTTCAAAAACGAAAATGAACTTAAATATTTCACGCGTTACGATAATCAATATAAATGTAGGATATTCCAAATTGAGAATTAATTTCTATCCCCTAACTGATTTAATGAATGAAAATTTTCTCGAGAAAAAATACGATTTTTTAAAAAAGGGGGGAGGAAAGAGGGAACATGGACGAAAATGGTTCCTGGTCCCCCAATATCGGTTAAATCGAATGGAATAAGTAGCGAAGGGATAATGGAGAGTGAAAATCTGTCGAAACAGGTCGAATTGATGGCAATGATAGGCGCCAATCTAAGATTTGGGATCGGCGCATCGGGTAACGCGTCGTCAAACGCGACCAAGGTGTTCCAGTGTCATCCAGGGGGCGCGACAGAGGCCAGCCTCATCTTCGGCCTCGGCGCTCTGGGCATGGGAGCGAACTTCCTGTTGATGGCCCTGATTCTGGCCAAGCGACAGTTGCGAAGGTAATTCCGACAATAATAGAGAAACTTTTAAAAATTCGAAACAACAATTGAAATATATCTTGCTGGAGAGTTCAGATGTAATACGTTCACGTAAAAAAGTAAGAATTAAATTGATTGGAATTCGTGAAATTCGACTGAGAAAATTTATTTTCGATTGAATGAAATCATTATCTGATAAGGAATTTAGATTATATAAACTTAGAAAAATTAAGAATTAATTTTTCTAGTATGTAGTACAGTAAAAATCCCTCGAAAATTTTAATCAAATTATTATTGTGGAATCAAAAATTAATGTAATTAAAGTTTGCAGCTTGCTTTGTAGTTTGTCTGACGTGTAAAAGGAATCAGTTAGTGAAAAAAAAAAAGAGTCAATAAGAATCGATTCTGATGCACATTAGAGTACAAGTGAAATCATGTTCGAGACATTGACAAGATACATCACAAATAAATTGCAATAACGATTCTAATACATCAGAGATACATCAGAGATGTCTCTGTATATTTCTATCCTATTAAAAATAATTTTTTCAAAAACTATGATTGAGTATACGATTCTAGAGATGTCTCATGTATTTCGTATATTTTTATAAAATTAGAAATAATTTTTCCAATGACTTTTCCAATAATTGAGCATACAAGATACATCACAATTATTACAATAACGATTCTAATGTACAATAGAAATATTTGATGTATTTCATATACTTCTATCAAATTAGAAATAATTTTTCCAATGATTGAGCATACAAAATACATCACAATCATTACAATAATGATTCTAACATACATCAGAAATGTCTCGTATACTTCTATCCTATTAAAAATAATTTTTTCAAAAACTAATGATTGAATGTACAATTATAGAAATATCTCATGTATTTCATATACTTCTATTAAGTTAGAAATAATTTTTCCAATGATTGAGCATACAAAATACATCACAATAATAGTTTTCCAAAAACTGATGATTGAGTGTACAATTCTAGAGATATCTGATGTATTTCACAAGATACATCACAATCATAACAATAACGATTCTAATAGAATATATACAATAGAATATTACAATACTATTAGAATATTAGAATATTAAAATATTATAAATACTAATAGAATAATACAATAGAAATATCTGATATATTTCATATACTTCTATTAAGTTAGAAATAATTTTTCCAATGATTGAGCATACAAAATACATCACAATAATAGTTTTCCAAAAACTGATAATTGAGTATACAATTCTAGAGATATCTGATGTATTTCACAAGATACATCACAATCATAACAATAACGATTCTACAATATTTGATGTATTTCATTTCTATAAAATTAGAAATAATTTTTCCAATGATTGAACACACAAGATACATCACAATCATTACAACAACGACTCCAACATACATCATAGATATCTCATGTACTTCTACCCCATTACAAATAAATTTTTCCAAAAAACCTGATCAAACGTGAACAAGTGAAACGATTCAAAACTTTGGCAAGATACCATCCCATCCACAACAGCCCAATGCCAACTATCCAATTGCTCGTGTTCCAGATGGTCACAAGGATTGCTGTTCCATCAGGCGATGGTGGACTGCGCTCGAGCCGCGATTTTATTGCCCCTAGGTTCGAGCATCCTCAACTGTCAACCGATGACCAAGTGTTCCCTGGTCGAGACCGCGTTCCTATTGCTTGTGACGGTGTCCACCGTGAACATGCTGACAACAGTGCTGAACGACAGCCCGATCTTCCCCGAAACCGACGAGGAGGCGGACCTCGCCGCTCCTTTGCTCATGGACTCGCCCCAGGCAAGCGCTTTCTTCTTCTTTCATTCTCTCGCTCCCTTTTCTCTCTCTCTCACACGTCTCTCACCTTGTTTCCACACTTTCTGTCTCGCGGAAGATTTTTTCCACGCTGCATCGACACTCTTGAAACGAGGCTCGAGCAGATACGATACGATTCGTAATTTCTTCGCCTATTTTTTTTTTTTTTTCTATTTTTTGCTATTCAGAGAGAGAGAGAGAGAGAGGAGCAGAGAATTTTTTAAAATATCATACTTTGTTAATAAATAAATATTATGAAATTTTTCGATATTTTAAAATTCTATCTCTAATTCTGTTTATAAATATTAACTATCATAAAACGTTTGGATGTTTGATAATATTATAATAGTACAGTTGCGAAAGCTTTTAAAGTTTTTGAAACGGTCTCGTGAAAGCAAAGCTTCGTAACTTTGTTTCGTTGTCCAAACGGCACATTTTTTTTTTCTTTTTTTTTTTTTTTTAAGCATCTTTGTCGCGAAGCTTTGGAAACCTTTGGACGAATATTCTTTTGAAAAAAAAGAAGAAAAGGAAATGAATGGAGGACGAAAAGATAAGAGTAACGAAAAAGAAAACGATTCTTTGAAAATGGAAAAAAAAAGAGGATCGTTCTTAAATAATTTAAAAAGCACTTTTTCTAAAGGATAAAAATTAAAAAATATAGTGGCAGGAAGAGAAATAACGAATAATAAATTTCGATGATTCACGACGATTATAAAATGTATCGATCGATTTTATCGTCCACAAACAAACGTTCCAATTCGAACCAAGATCCGTGAATTATGCTACTTGGATATATATCGAAAGATATATAATAGGATTTCCAATTGGGAAAAAACACAATTTATTATTCCATCTTGTACACTCGGCTATTTAAAATTTAATTCATGGAGCAGATCGACCTAAAATTATAATCTATAAGATATATTTTTGATAAACAAGTGATAATATATTTGCCATACACGATTTTATAAATATTTTTTTTATTCCTAATTTAATCATTAATTTAAATATTTTCCTACATATAAAATCTTAATTAACACTATATTATTTATAATCGTTAAAATCACTTGATGAAATTGGATTATGATAATGGATATTTCATTGGATGAAATGGATAATTAATTGGATATTAAATATCGCCCGAGGGAGATAACGAGAATAGATAAAAGATCGATTGGAAATACATCGATCGAATAAAAAATTAAGAATCGATTAAGAATGCGTGGCAACTGAGAGAAGAGAGAGAATTGTTCGCGAAGTCATCACCCTTTAAACCAAGTGGTAGGAAGTTAAGCCAACTTGGAAATCGTGTAATCTCTAAGTTATACGATATCTTGGCAAACGTGGGACTTGGGAAGATGGGGACTTAATATGGGAACGAGTTTACAAATCCTTAATGTCGTAACAATCGTGATAAGATTTTTATGGATGGATCTTATTATTATATATTCGATAATATAAATTTTAATAATTATTATATATGAAAAAAAAGAAATATGAAAATATCTATTATATTAAAATTGGGTGGATATGGAATATTAATAATAATTATAAAAATTGAATTTATTTATTTTAGAAAGATTTTAATTGTAAGTTAATTTATTTGGAGTTTTAATTTTAAGATTAATATGTTTAATACAATATGAAATCAATTATTGCAATTTCATCAATTGTTCATAGAGGATTAATAAGAATATTAACTTTTTTAAAATTAAGATTGATTGGAAGATATTTAATGATAATTTTTCATGGATTAAGGATTCTTCAGGATTATTTTTTTTTTTTTTGGTAAATATAATTTATAAACAAATTAATTAGACGATTGATATTTATTAATAAAGGAATAATTAATTTTATACCTTCAGTATCTTTAATATGTTCATCAAATATAGGATCTCCAGTTTCAATAAATTTAGTTAGAGTTAAATTGTATTAATAATTGGATTAATTTTTTGATTAAAATATTTATTCATTATTTTAATAATATATTGTTATGAAATAAACGATTTAAAAAAAAATTCTTTCGCAAATTCGTTCGCCATTTTTCGATCAACTTTTCATCAATGAAAACGAGTTATTTCGCACGAAATGATGAATGTTCACTTAAAAAAAAAGTTTCACTTAAATCCATCAATCAATACCAATTATTCCGATAATTTCGTAATCTTTGATTAAATCCAAGAATATAAAAACAAGTTGTTATTATTATTATTACATTTTATAAAATAACGAAACATTAAACATTCTGGACGATCAAGTCCATCATTGTGATAAGACAAATTATTCTCGCAATTGAAAATTGAAAAAAAAGAAAAGAAATATTGTTTCTGCGAATGATGAATTATCTCAACAACAGTGGACCACAACAATGAATACGGAATAAAGGAAAATTCGACTCGAAAATAAAATTGCAAAAACAGGGGCAACCAATTTTGTTCCAATTTCGACGAGCTAATTTAACAAGTTCGAGAATAAAGAGCCTTTTTTCTCTTCTCCTTCCCCCTCCCTTTCTTCTTTCCCCGCAAATCGAATTCCGGGAAATGTTCGTAAGAAGCACGTTTCCCCGGATGCATTTTCAGTCGGCCCCGGTCTCGTTTAACTCGATCAGAGACGACTTAAGTGACGACCGAGTGCCTTTGAGGCGGGTTCGAGTTTCAAATCGATTTAACGAATATAGCGTGGGAAACTGTAAAACACGCCTCTTCACGTACGAATGGGCGTCTAGACCCATAGAGAGAGAGAGAGAGAGAGGCGAAGTGACGCTCGAAAATTATTTATGGATCGTGGAAGTTACGGCCTCTCGCAGAAAAATTTAAAAACTTTGGGAATCTTAGGAATTGGTTTTATTTATTGGCAAACAGTGTGTCAAACTTTGGGTTTTCAGTTTCTTTCTTTTTTTTTTTTAATAATTGATAAATATCTTTCTTTTTTTTTTGTAAATATTTTTCGTTCTTTATTATTGTTAATTAATATTAGAAATATCAAATTATCATTGTTGATTATTAATTTGTATATGAATTTTTATTATTAGGATTTAGTGAAAATCTTCCAAGTTTTAGTAATGAATTTTTAAGCTATAATATTTTTTTAACTGGACCCTTCAATTTTCATTATCTATCTATCATTATGATTATTAACTTGTATAATTTCATTATTAGAATTTTCATTATTAGAATTTAGTAAAAATCTTCCAAGTTTTAGTAGTGAATTTTTAACTTTTTAAATTATAATATTTTTTAAGTGGACCAGAAGGCTCCTTCAATTTTCATTATCTATCCATCATTGTGATTATTAATTTGTTATATAAATTTTCATTATTAGGGTTTAATAAAAATCTTCCAAGTTCTAATAGTGAATTTTTAATTTTTTAAGCTATAATATTTTTTTAACTGGACCCTTCAATTTTCATTATCTATCATTATGATGATTAACTTATATATGAATTTTCATCATTAGGATTTAATGAAAATCTTGCAAATTTTAGTAATTAATTTTTAATTTCCATTATCTGTCTATCATTATGATGATTAACTTGTATATAATAAATTTTCATCATTAGGATTTAGTAAAAATCTTTCAAGGAGCTTTTTAATTTTTTAAGCTATAATATTTTTTTAACCAGAATGCCCCTTTAATTATCTGTCTAATTTTACGAACTAACATCTCTTCTTCAGTTTTTCCGTTTTGAAAATTTTAGAGAAGAGAAATTAACCATCGTCATCGACAACGAGTGAAAATAAATATCATCCAACGTTCATAATCCTGATATTTAATTTCTCTAATTATTATTAATTTCTTTAATATTTTACATTCTAATAGATTTTCGTAAATCATTGATGGGACACGTAACGAATAGATCTTTCAAGAAGATCAATATTTTACCATGATAGAAATTTTACCAGTAATGTCTGAAACAATTCCCTGAAAATTCAGAAGAACCCTCTGAGAAAGATAATTTTTTAATTAAAATCACTTTAAGCGATAATTTCATTTAAAATGCTCGAATAACGTTATATATAAATTAATCCGTTCTTAAACCTCGTTTTATCCACCCAATTATTCGAATAATAATAAATCATTGGACCAACTTAATTTATTATTAACATTACTCATCAACAACATCAACCGTTTAAAATTTTCTCTCCATCCATCACCTTTAAAATCGGTTTGCATAACGGATGTTCGTAATTATATTCGAACGAGAGCGAGAATCTGGCAAGACAAAACGATCGCGATAACGATAATGATAACGATCCACGATCGATAATCGATAGAGCGCGGATATTCGAATGATTAAAAGTGTGATTGGACGGACGGCCGCGCGGTGGCGCGGCGGAGGGGTTAATCGAGGCGCGATGGCGTCGTTAAAAGACAGGGGGCGAATAAACGGGACGCGACACGATTAATCCAGACGCGGGCGCATTCCGTTGCGGACAGTTTACACCGCAATCATCCAACTGATGAATTCGTTCCAACAATCCGTGTCATGCTCCCATTATATTCTCTACAACCCTCTTCCTATTCTCGCTTCCGTTTTATCAGATATCGCGAGAATCTCTCTCAACCTAATCCCACCG